GCATGACGAAAAGTATAAGATTGTAATTGCATTACGTAGGCCAATTGATGCAGAAACTAATTAAGGAAAATAAAACCAAATATTTTATAATATTCATTTGAAATTAAATTGCTGGCTAACTTTGCTTGGCTCACCTTGGCTAATGGCAACAAATGTGCATGCATAATATCGTCCAATTTAAAGTCCTCATAGAGTAAATGAAAACTATAAAATATCGCCAGCATTGTATGAATAAACAAGCCGTAGTATCAATATTGTACATTGTGAATAATTTTCTTTTGATGGTTTATTATCCGATCCATCTAGAATGGACAACATAAATTGTCAATCTTCTTCGGTACCCGAATGTATTTCATCATTTTTTTTTATTTTCTTTGGATCTTCAGCACTAAACGATGTAGCAGTGTTACTGCTATAATCATGCATAACAGCTGAAAATCCCATTAGATGTTTTGTTCTGAAGGCAAGAGACTTAAACAAATGCTTAAGATTTTCCCCGAACTATAAACTAAAGTAAGACGATTAACGGCAGGATCACGTAGACCCAAACAAAAGTTGTTTCTGAAAGTAGAATATTTCAGATTAAATTCTTAAAGTTATCTTAATATAGAAAATCTTTTTCTACTTACCTATTGGAAAACTGTGGCTGCAGAGGGTGTACTGGTGATAACAAATGAAACTCATCTTCGAATGTAGTGTCTCCCGGTTTTGTTTGATGGAGAGAAATGGTCCATACACACATAAGCAGGTGCCGGGAGTTGCATCTTGCAAGCCTCCATCCACTTTCGTCGCCTCCTCTCATCTGTGGGGACAATAAAAAAGCTCCCATTTCCTTTTTTGGAAATTTTCTTGCAAATTATACACCTTTTCATAATTTTTTAGTACATAAACCACACAAAATTCAAGTTTTTTCACTTTTATTTTTATTTTTTATAAAACAACACACAATTTAATTTTTTTCCACTAAAACAAATATGGCAAATAATTTGACATAAAAGTCTTTGGTTGAAGCTGTCAAAAATTGCAACGTAAACAATTTTGACATTTTCGTCCATAAGTGAGTTTTAAAAAAAATAGTCAGCTGTTCTACTGAGTCTACTTTATAAATTTACTTTGCTCACTGCTTTTACTTCAAACACTTTGTGTTTGTAGCAAACACGAGATACAAAAAATACATTGCTGTTTGACAAACCAGAGTTTCCTAGGTCGTCAAACAAATGTATTTTAAATGGGACATCAAACAAAATCTGTTTGAAGGAAAAATTCTGCAATTTTTTGCGCGCAGTTGCATGTTTTCGCGCCAATTTTTGCAAATTCTTTATTTGATCTTCTGTCATTTTACATACATTTTGAGTTTGTAACTAACGTAGGACGTGTTAAATTTGGAATTTTTTTTAATTCTTTTAAAAAAATTATAAAATATATATAATTTGGAAATGACATTAATTGTCTATTGAAGAGTATAAAAGTATTTTTAGTATTTTACTAAAAATATTGATAGATTTGGCCAGTTTGTGAGATCTAGAGGATTAAAAACTGTAAGTACATTACATGTTAAATAATTAATTATTTGTCTCTAAAAAGAAAGAAGAGGCATCATGATGGTCTCGTGATAGAATGCCCACAAGAGAGTGGCAATTGTATACGTCCCTAGGAGGACATGCCAATGTTGAAATAACTAGTCACCTAGGGGTGTGGTGGTCGGTCGGCTAGTGGTGACATGGTATATTAACACCTAGAGGCAATGGACGAACGCTGATTGCCGTATCCAGGGGTTATCACAAGGATACATACTTATTATTATACCATTGATCTCAGCAGAATCACTACCATTCACCCATAGCGTGTGATGTCTGTCTGGTGTGCCTTTCAGTGAAGCTCTTGTTGTCTCCAAACACTATGGTGGCCGAATAACTTGCTATTTGTGGGCTTACTGCCGGTCCACACTAGGAAACTTTTTTTGGGAAACTTTTGATTTTGCGTGAGAGAGAAAGAGAAAGAATATCATTCATCTCTCTCGCGGTACGGAGTTTCCCGTACTCGGAAACTTGTTTTGCTTTGTTATTCTTCTCCTTCGTACAACCACAAATCAATGCATTTAATACGTAGTTTCTGAAACAAAAGTTTTCATGTGTGGACATTAAGGAAACTTCAAAAGAGAATTAAGAAAAAGTTTCTCAACAAAAGTTTCCTATGTGGACCAGGTCTTACTTGTCAAAAATGTTTATGTTGCCATATTTGTTTTAATTTTAACGCGTGCTTTTGTACAAATTTCTGAGAAATTTGTTGTATTTAGACTGTGTGCCAAACGGCAGCAAAGTTCTATGGTAAAATAAAATTTTCTTATGGAACTTTTCTGGCTAAAGAGAATTAATGAATTTTCTCTTCGTACTTATAAAAAGTACGGGAACAGAAAAAACAATATTTCTCTTTCAATAAATTTGTATTGAAGTTTATTCATATAAATTTCTATTGAAATTAAAATAAAATTGAAAAACTACAATCACACATACTTATTTATGAAAATAAATAAAAAATATCAAACATTTTTGTTTTCAATGTATTTTTTTAAACAAATAATTTATTTGACAATTTTTTTTCTATTTGCCAGGAAAAAATTTTCTGGCTAAAACCTGCAAGTTCTGGCAAAGAGAAAATAATTTTAATTGCTCAAATTTGTTCTCTTTTACAATTTCTGGTAAAAACCTGCTAACTTGACAAGTAAAGGAACAAAGCTATTATCACTTTTGCTGTGCCAAACGATATCTTTTTTGATTACATTAAATTTTGACAATTGTCACTAATTTCACAAGAAAATCTGCATTTATTTTAATAAAAGAAGCTCTTTTATTGATTTTTTTATTATTGAAATAAATTTCTACAATCACAAATGTATTATAAACTAAAATTATCAATTGTCAAAAATTTATGTAGCCCGATGAGCTAGTAAAATTTTATTCACCTCATATCTATCAAAAATTTACATTTTCAAGTAAATTGTTACCGATTGGCACACACTCTTAATGTGAAAAAGTGTATTTTAAGTGTATAATATTTTTAAAAATGTTCTAATTTTTAAAAAATAAAGAAAACTGTGACTTTTAATAAAAATAACAACATATTTTTGGAAAGCACACCAATAATGCCATATTTTCCATTAATTATTGGTTCAATTTTGTAAACAAATTTTGTCGCTACTTTATTAATTTACTTCGGCGCAGATCAGGGTGCACTCATAAGGTGAAGTCAATTCAACAGCTGATCACTCATTTTTTTTTATTTGAGGTAGATACAACTGTCAAATTACACCATTTAGAGTTGCCACAATCCAAAAAAATATGTACATCTATCTACGGATTTATAATATTTTTAGAACAAAAAAATAATAAATAAATTTTATATTAATTTTAATCCGTAGTAAATTTATGCAAAATACTCAAAAATTGCACAAACTGTTTGTCTTAAACATGCTTCTATTTTATCAATTATAGGGAAATTTTTACTAATCAATTGAGAGTACAAACATCCCACAATTGTAAATAAAATGATTAAAACTCGATTTTATCACAGATAACTTAATTTTTAACAACTTTCAATGGTAGTGGTTTGGTCACATTTCTATAAAGATATTTCTTATACGACAATAGTAGAGACCTACATGGTATTATAAGTTCCCAATATTAACTGATAAAAAAATAATAGGTATGTATGTATGTATATAATTTGTATTTTTGCTACTACTTACAATTTTGTAATCTAATACTTATTTTTTGTTATATTAATTGATAATTTATTTACTTTTTTAATAAGTAATAATTTCAAATAATATTCTAATTAAATTGGTGGATTCTTATTTTTCAATTCATGTATAATTTTTAATAAATTTTATTTAATAATACATATTTACTTAACGTGAAGAGATTTTTGGGCATGTGGGATTTTCTTTTTGTAAGGTAAATTAAAAAAATCATGGTGGCAACATGTAAATTTTTTGACATGAGTACTTTTGTTGTTTTTGTAGAATTGACTTCACCTTATAAGCAGGCCTGCCAGATTTGCCGATATTTTACCTTCAAAATAGTAAAGTGCCGATTTCCCGATTTTTGCTTCAAAAATGCCGATTTTTTACCCAATCGAACAAATTAACGAATTTATTATAACTTGTTGCGGTGGGACTCTGGGGGTGCCGACTGTAGGGTGTATGTCTAAAAAAAAATTTTGCGTGGGGGGACCTTAGTGGGACGAGTTTCGAGCACTATCCGGCTTGGCCAGCGACATCGGCGCCTCACCACATGGCCGTGCTCTTAAAGATTTTTACATTATTATTTTTTTTTTGTCGGAATGGTCTACTTTTCTTATAGTAGTGGGGATTGCCAATCCGCAGTAGACCATTGGCAAACAGGGGGGAAACCTTGCTCGTGCGACCGCCCGACATACGGATCGCAGTTAAGCCCCGCTGTTTTTACCTGAAAAGAAAAGAAAATAATTAAAATTGGAAAAAAATAGTGTGGAACGATACTTACTATACCAATTTTTTTTGTTTTGATTGTAAAAAAATGAAACATATGTTATCCAGTGTTGGTAAACGTTCGTATATGTTTTACTTGTTGCAGACTATTGTGAATGATTGCTACAGTAGGGTACGTAGTAGTAAAACGGATGAATGAATTTATGCGTCCTTTTTGTATTGAAATTTAGTTGTAATGGGGAATTCTAATGGAAATGAAATAGATATATTTAACTAAATAAAATTTTGTTAGAAAGGGATATATGTATCGTTGTTAAAAGGCAGATTTTAGAGGGAAAAAAAAATAAAGATGGCTTTATTGGAATAGCTAGTTAATATAGGTCAAGCGTAGCCATGTAAATTTTGTACTTGGTAAGATTACAAAGCTTCTGGACGTTGAGAAATAAAGACATAAAAAAGTGCGCGCAATAATAAGTGAAATCAAATCGCTAGTTTTTTTATATAAAAAAAAAAAATAAAAAAATATACACCATATACATTGGCAAATAAAAGTAAAGATTAAAAATAATACAAAAGGAAATTACATAATAAAGGTAAAGCAACAGTTTGTAAAAAAAAAAAAAAATATATAGAAAAGAAAGTTGTGTGATTTTTCTTACAATATATGTTTTGTGTGTCTATAGGGTAGCAAGAGTTTGAGAATTTCGAGTATTGGACAAGAAATAAAGTTAAAGGTTACTGCAACGACAAGGATAAGGAAATCTAGAAGTGTTCCTGCAAAATAGTATTATAAGCTTGGAGAACGTAAGTTTCATAGTGTATAGGTTATTTTATTAGCGTTACTGGTCAAATGTTTATAAATATTAATCTTTCGACCAAACAGCTTGAGACGGGTTTCTATCTGGAGCAGGACCAGAGTTAACTATTTCCGGAAACCTTACTCTTCCTGGGAAGAATCTCAAAAAGGGTTCTCCAAAAATTTAAATCCTCTCCTAAAACAACAGGTAACCATACTCAATTAAGAAAAATAATAGCCAGAAAGAAAAAGAGTACAATCCGTTCAATACTCGACGCTACGTATTCAATTGTGAAATTTCAATTATTGCACTTGATTTTTAGTATATTTAACTATAGAACAGAAGATATATATCAGAATTTAGGGTTAAGATTACTCCGTATCATTTATTAGTTTTAAGTTTAATTTATTTATAAGATATATTCATATGTGTTTGTGATTAGCGTGCCTCGCAAGAAGAAAAAAAAAATCGTCAGGTTGTAGGAATATCCATCCCCAAAACAAAACGAAGTATATATTCGAACTTTAGTTTTTTTTTTATTTAATTGTATTTTCCCTCCCGAAATAAAGAGCTCTTTAGAACAGGATCAGGAAGATTAGATATAGTGAACCATATCGATGGTCTGGCAATATTGTGCAAAAAAATAAATAAACGTTTTATTTTGGAAAAGGGTCTTTTCCTGTGGCATGTAGAAACGCCTGATATCATCTATTGTGAATATCGCTAAGAATTAGTGTAATAATACGTTATTTTGTTAGATTTGTGTATAAATATATGTAATTTTTCTTTATTGTTGAAGTTTAATTCTTTTATTCTATTATTATAAGCCCAATTTTTAAGGTAGATAAACATCTTAGGAAACCTATAATAGATAAAATAAATGAAATTATGTTCGTTAAATGATTTGAATTAAAAAAAAAAAAAAAAGGTATGAAGGCTTAAGTTTATTTGTTTAAGGGGTAGGAAGAGAGAAGGTAAGTGGTGAACAGCGAGCGGTGTTAAGGGGTTGCTTTAGAGGATGAGAGGAGATAGTAACCATGGTTGGGATGGGCGGCTGGAGAAACATCTACCTCCTGTTGTGGTCATGTCTCAATGTAGTGTAATCGTGTTAGTTTCTGTAACGTTAGTGAATTCATCATTAATTGGTACTGCCCTGAGGCTAGGTTGAAGGGAGAGACCACCTCTGAGTGTGTCATGCGAAAAGTTAGTCGGCCAGGATTCAACCTAGTGCTGCCAAAGGTCACGTAACAATATGGCGCCCAATCAAATAGGATAAAGAAGGCGTAAAACGCCAACTTATCATATAATATTGTGTATGAAAACCTACACACAATCTAATAGACCACTAGTGTAAAAGTCCATAGCCCAAAACAATCTTTTAGTTCCAAATCTGATTACTTGTTAAGATCTGTAGCCGTTCTGGATTAGAAATTCGGAAGTCAGTAGTACTGGTCATCTATGTAAACACTTTCGGAGCTGAAAGAAAGTATCAAATAATAAGTGTGAAACAGATCATAAGAGTTCAAAAAAAAAAAAAAATACCTTATCGTAACTGATAATGCACTTATTTAGAACATTTTTATATATTTGTAATCCTTAAGTATACTGTTTGCAGCCCAGGGAAACATTTTAATAGCCGCTCTGGAATATAACTAGAGGTCTGAAGTATTAAAATGCTACCAAGAGGGTCAATGACAGATCCGTAGGAATATGTCAGTAGGTAAACGGAGATCTTAAATATTGTTTATTTGTTAGTTTTGAATACGAGACATGAATACAGAAACTCTCTATACAGAGAGAGCCATAAAAAAAAAAAAATATATATATATATAACCGCATGCACCACCACCTATCTTTTACCGCCCCTATATCAAAAATAATATAATAATTTTTTTAAATTTATAATATAGAGCTTAATCGATAAACGTTAAAGGTTATTAGTTATTTATTTTTGTTCAAGTTTTTTTTTATTACAACCAAAAAGGTTTATTTAACATCTATTTAAAATCTTTTTAACAGTATTAATTCTTATGCAGCTCATATTTTGACTTATTTATTTATTTGTTTGTTTATTTATTTATTTATTTGCTTATTTAATTATTTATTTATTTATTTATTTATTTATTCTTTATTTATTTATTTATTTATTTATTTATTTATTTATTTATTTTTTATTAGTTTATCTGATTTATTTAAATCGTTTTATTTATTTAATTTCCAAATTGTTTCTTTGCAAATTATATTTTTTTGTGTACGTTTAAGATATATTCAGTTTTAGTATTATTGTTTAAACGAATTGATCGATGTTTTAAAATTTTAACTCTTTTCTAATCTGCTTAACTTGTGTTCCTTTTGATTTGAAAGGAAAGCAAAATAAACGAAATAGCCTTGAGATTTTTAGGGTAATGAGCGTCCAGACTAGGAATCAATCTAAAAACAAAGAACAAAACACTAGTATTGAATCAAATAGGAAGTTATTAAGTGTTCACGGAAATAGGAAGAGAAGTAGGTTACCAGAATTTGATTTGAATCGATCAACAATCCATTCTGATCCAAAACAAAGAAGGGTGTATAAACCGAGAAAACAAGGTATGGCTAATTCCAATGAGAATATCCACATAGGGTCCCAATTCACTGATTTGTCTGCCACGATAATGACCACGGCCCATGGGAATATTTCCACTAGGACGCCTGATTCAGGATTTAGGGCACCCTCAGATGAAGTTAATACCGCGAACGGAAACATAGGTCCAGATGTTATGGAACTAGTTGCGGATGAAGCACTTGTAGTACAGAGGTCCCTGGAGGACAAAGTTAGGAAAATGGTTCAAGACGAGATGACTGAAGTTAGGAAGACAATAGGAGATCTGGCGAAAGCAGTCAATAATTTGGCAAAAACTACGAATGCGGGTACACCAGCTGCAATAGGTAACAATACAGGAAACGGAAACAACGTACCTGGAAATGTAAATAATGAAAACAGAGCAAATCCAAGAAATGAAAACGCATATTTACCTCTTCCAAACCAATTCGTGCCTGAGAATTCAATTCCTCCAATGAATTTTACCACACAACATGATAACAGAATATCATCTAACGGAAATACTTCCTTTGATTTCCGTCAAATTCGAATAGACAAATTGGGAATAGTGTTTGATAATAAGACCATGGGTATAGATGATTTTATCTTCCGGTTAGAACATCTGAAAACCCATTACAACATTCCAGATAGGGAAGTTGTTAGAGATTTTCATCTACTTGTGTCCGGCTCAGTAAAGGACTGGTATTGGTCGTTTATAGGGACTCACGGTTTAACTGACTGGCCTGTCTTACGTCTCGCTTTACTATCCCAATATCAGACTCCGCGATCCAATTTCGAGGTGATGAGAGACTTGGTGGAAAGAAAGCAGCAGAATAATGAAACGATCGATATGTTCTTTCATGAAATGAACAAGTTAAGGTCAAAACTTACTCAACCCATGCCAGAATATGACATGATAAAAATCATGAAACGAAATGTAAATCCATATCTAGCAAGAATCGTTTATCCTTTAGCTGTTTCTTCAGTAGAACAATTACGAATTGAATGTAACGATGCTGATCGCAATTTTCCAAGGAGAGAAATACGTAACATAATACCCCCAGCACGTGTGAGGCAAATAAATGAAGTTTACGATGATGAATATACGACGAGGGATGAAACGGAAATACCAGAAATAAGGGAAGTGGAAGCTTTACGTATAGGCCAGCAAGCTTTCCAACAACAAAAGCAATCCCTAATATGTTGGAATTGTAAAATAGCGGGTCACGTTTACATGGAGTGTCCATCTGAGCAGCGATCGTTGTTCTGTTACAAATGCGGCAAGCCCAACGTCACGACACCGAAATGTCCAGTGTGCCAACAGAAAAACCAGATGAATGGCGTGGGAATGACAGGGGACTCACGTCAAAAGCCGAACCCTGCATCATCAAAAGATTAGATAAAGAAAATAGAAAGGAAAATGGGTTTAATCAGATTAGTAAAACGAATTTAGAAAACAATATACCTCAGATTAGACATTATCTTCCATTCCAAACAAGAAAATTTAATTATGATAGGGTAAGGGACAAGATATTCGGATCCGGCTCCAGTAAGATGGTATCTGAAAGAATTTTAAAAATTAGAAAGAATTTAAAGGAACGTCGTAATTTAAGGAGAAAAATAATAGAAACGATTCATAGGTCAAATAAAAATGTCATAGATCCTAGAATTTTTGTTAATGTAGAAGTAAATGGTTATGAAATGAGAGGATTATTAGATTCAGGAGCATCTGTTAGTATCATTGGGAAAAATTGTAGAAGAATTAATAATTAGATTAGGTGTTCTGGTTAATCCAATGTTGACCAGTGTGAAAACTGCTAGTGGTCAACAACTCCGAGTGCTAGGAAAAGCAAAATTATCCATTAAGTACAAAGATCAAGAACATGTTATGTTATTATATCTTTGTCCTGATTTGGAACAAGAATTATATTTAGGTATAGATTTCTGGGAGACATTTGGATTAATACCCGAAATAATCAGAGCAGATGAAATTAATATTGAGCAAGTCCCGCAAGACATTGTAAATAAGGAATTAGAATATAAAATGAAACCGCATACGTTAACTTTAGAACAGCAAGAAGATCTTAATAGGGCAATAGGGATGTTCAAAACCTTTGAGGAAGACGGACTGGGGGTTACTCCGCTCGAAAAACACACCATAAAATTAGTTGAAGGTGCAGTCCCTGTTAAAGATCGCCATTATCCTATTTCGCCTGCAGTGCAGGAAATAACCTACAAAGAAATTGATGCAATGCTTGAATTAAACGTGATAGAAGAAAGTGAAAGCCCATGGAGCAATCGAACAACTGTAGTTCGTAAACCTGGAAAAAACCGATTTTGCCTCGACGCAAGAAAATTAAACAACCTTACCGTAAAAGATGCCTACCCATTGCAAAACATTGATGGAATCTTAAGCCGAATAGACGAAACCTACTATATTAGCAGTGTCGACCTAAAGTATGCCTTTTGGCAGATTGAACTGGATGAGGAAAGTAAGCCATATACCGCCTTTACAGTGCCTGGACGTCCCCTATACCAATTCAGAGTCATGCCATTCGGTCTTTGCAACGCGGCGCAGCGCCTTTGCAGACTGATGGATAAAGTGGTGCCACAACGAATAAAACAAAACGTTTTTATGTATCTTGACGACCTCCTGGTAATTTCAAGTACTTTTGAGGAGCACCTACGATTATTGGAAGAAGTAGCGAAATGCTTAAAGAAAGCTAACCTAACGATTGGATTAAAAAAGTCACAATTTTGTTTTCAAGAACTGAAATACTTAGGATTTATCATCGGAGGAGGGATGCTAAAAACTGATCCGCAGAAAGTTGCTGCTATTAGAGAGATAAAGATTCCTAAAACGACCCGTGAAGTTAGAAGTTTCCTCGGCACTGCCGGTTGGTACCGTCGATTCATAAAAGACTTTGCTACAATCGCTGCACCGCTAACAGATACTTTAAAAAAGTCGAAAAAGTTTAAACTAACTCCTGAGGCAATTGAATCTTTTAATAAATTAAAAAGAGCTTTAACCAGTGCTCCGGTACTAAAACATCCTGATTTCACTAGACGTTTTTACATTCAATGCGACGCTTCGGATTACGGGATAGGTGCTGTGTTGTATCAGTTGAATCCGAACAATGAAGAACATCCCATCGCATTCTACTCCCAGAAGTTTAACTCCTGCCAACGAAAATACAGCGTGACTGAAAAGGAGTGTCTAGCGGCTATCATGGCTATAAAGAAGTTTAGGCCTTATGTGGAGATGATGCCATTTACCGTGATTACGGACCACGCTAGCCTCAAATGGCTAATGACGCTTAAAGATTTGAGTGGGAGACTAGCTCGT